CCCTGTAACCAAATAACTTGAAATTTCAAATTAGGGTGAGGGGACTTAGATTGCAGGTCTGGTTTTATGACTATTTTAAAGTAAATACCTGGCCTGAAGGTTGTAGTGGACCTTTTAGAAGGGGCAAGATATAGATTAAGTCAGTAAGTTTCAAACCTATTGGCTAGAAAACAAAGGAACGTTGAGACTCAGGTGTAATTGGTTCAGTTCGTTTTCAGTAAGGGTTTTTTCCAAGTACATCTACATCCTCTCTCTGCCCTCTTCTGCTTTAATCTTCTCAAATCTTTGTTCCCTTCCTTGTCTAGCTTTGCCCACCCTGTTTTAAGCTTCTGCTCTTGTCATCACCTTGCTCCTATCCTACTCCAGTCCCAGCTCTTGCTTCTGCTACCCCTGCTGAAGTCCTCTCTCCGGAAAGTGTCACCCATCTGCCAGTAATTGATAACTGAGGTACTTCAATAACATATGTATTCAGTATTAGTAATCTGGACAATCTTGCTTAGTTTTGCACTCAGTTTTTCCTGCACTTGAAGCTGTGATTAATAATAATCTTATGATCAGTCCTGGCTCTCCTCTTCCTCCAATTATATATAAAGTAAGGTAACTGGTTGTCAGCTACCTTACCAATTAAGACTACCTGCTGATTAAAAACTACTTTACAGTGACATTAAGCTATAAAGCACCAGCAAAAAATCATGATCCCAAGATGTGCACTGTCATCCCCCATAGATTTGCATTTAATTAAATGAGAAAACAGCAGGACCATTGTTGTTCACAGTGAAGAATCCCAGAGCCATTCTATGAATGGTGCTCTGTTATTGCAAGTGATGAGCTTAAATTTGAATATTGTTCTGTCATTAAGGCAACCACTCAGTCCACATTATGAATAGTATCAAAAATGCTACACTGTAGCTATGAAAAAATGAGGCCTCAGCTGTGTACTAACGGCATCCTAAGCAGACAGTCATTTGGGCGCAGCATCGTTTCTGTTATTTATTTATGAATTAAGCCAGTCATTCAAAACATGGAAGCCTGATATTCATATTCTGGAAAAGTGGCCTTATTTTAAAAGAATCCTCAGTGTCTGTTAAGCATTGCTTAAATCAAGACCCTAAACTCTGGAATAATTTGCTTTAGAACCAGATTTAAAGAACATTGTACACCCAAATAAAGATTCTTTAAATAAAAAGTTCTTTAAATAAAATCTAGGAATGCAGCCATATGCCTGCAGTGGACCAGGCCAGAAGCCAGGGGGTACTAAAGCATGCATTC